TATCCAGTAAAAGACTTTTCAGCTCAAACTTGTCTTTTCTACATGACTTATTAAATTTTAGAACCCATAAATCACCATGATCTCTTATTAAAAACTAAACTCTTAGTAAATAGACATATATTTAGATGGATTAAGGAGAGTCAATAAGCAATAAGCAGACATCAGCACAATACCACTAAAGAAAGAAAACACATGAGAGGAACACAAGAAATACAGTCAACCACAGCTACATCGGCACACAGGGAAGATGAGCAGATATGGACAGGTGAAAAGGAAAACATTCATGACATAGGTTTGGGCATTAATAGTCCTGCATTCATATTAAAATGTGCTGTAAAATATCCATGAATTTAGCAGAGTCAACAGAGGCAATGATATTTAAGCTTCTTTATAACTAAAAAGAGCTCTGGTAGTTTAGTAGCAAGGAGTTGCACTGCCAACTCAAAGGCAAATGTTTCAAGCCTATCAGCTGCTCCCTGGGAGAAAGATGGCCAATCTCCTCCCATGCTACTTACAGACTGAAAATGCACTAGACAGCTATGAGTCACTTCCAATTCATCATATATAACAACAATTTAACTAAACTCACCACAGGAATGAGTTGCTTGTTCTGGGGCTGTACAAAGAGTGTAGGCAGCATGGGGAGAGCCGTGTCCAACTTCTACTAACTCCACGGAAGGGAACTGTCCCAATCAACAGCATTCACAGTGCAAAACTTATTCCTATAAGGTCAGACATGCTCTCGCATGCTCTTGCATCAATTTCTTTTCATTTCCACACCAATTTTACTGCTCTACTGGGTCAGAAATCTTTTGCAACGACCACACAAACTTCACTGACCCATACTAACAACTATGGGTTTATTGGGAAATTTAACAGGTTGGAAGCAGAATACAATCCCTAAGACTAGGTAGCTTCTCATGTGTGTTTGTAGATCATTTAACTTTCAGCATCATAACTTAGGTCAGGTTACAAAATTCCCTAGTCCCGCTGGTATGTCATTTTCCCTCAGTCACCCAGCATGCATGGGAAAAGACTTCTGACTTTGGTTCCATGGGGCACCGATTCCAAGCCAGCTCTGTCTCATGCTGGTCTCTGTTCTCTGCTGAGTTTCTTATTAATCTTGTTTATATGCTGGTATTGCTGGTGCAGGGATTTCTAGCCCCAAAGGACATGCTGCTCTACCTGATTCTTCATCCTTGCTGATATTAAGATACCCATATCTGCTGTTGAATCCACTAAATTTAAAAACTAGTGGAATAATAAGACCAGCCAATATCCTTGTAGATAAACTAACAGACTCTATTTGTTTGTTCCCACCTAGTCTTGTGGCAAAATCAAGGTAAATGGCTAGGAAACCCATTTGAACAATGAACCCTTGACAGCACAGGGATCTTGGGGTTACAGTCATAGAAGACATCAAGGCCAATTGGCATAACATAGTCCACAATGACCTTGTTTTGTGCATTACTTTGGTGAATACCAATTGGGATCTTAGAAACTTGCAAACATCTATCTAAGGAACTAATAGTGTCTTCTTGTCTGTAACAGAGAGGAAAGAAAAGCAAAGATGAACCAAAACAATTCGTCCAAAGGGCTAATGAATCACACAAACCTCAACTTCTTTGGCTGAGACCAGAAGAACTAGATAGTGCCTGGCTAACACCACTTGTTATTCTTGTTATATGCTATTGTGTCACCTGCTACTCACAGCAACCCTATGTACAACGGCTCTGAACCTTGCCCTATCCTGAGCCAGTCTCACTGTCTGCAATACACCTACTCCCATTACTCCAGTTACAATGTCAATCCATTTCATCCAGGGTCTTCTTCTCCTGCACTCTCCCTCCACCCTATCAAGCCTGATGTCCTTTTCCAAGGATCAGTCTCTCCTGGACACATGTCCAAAGTATGTGAGACAGAGCTTCAAAATCCTAGCCTCCAAGGAGAAACTTGGTTTCACCCTCTTCAAGACAGACCTGTTTGTTCTCTTGGCAGACCATGATATCTTCAGTTCTCTTCTTCAGCACCATAACTCAAAGGCATTGATTCTTCTGTCAGCTACTCTAAAAAGGATCACAGCAGAAGATCTTGGATAGTTTCCGTTTTATTCCCATTTAGTTGGAACTGACTCATAGCTGATTTACTATTGAGAGTTCCAAGGCTGTATATCACACAACAGGAGATTGCCCATTTTACTCCCTGGTAGTCAAGTATGAAACAATGTGGAATAAAACTCTAGAACATAAAATAGGCTCCATTTACTGGTCCAATAGAGACTGGTAAGTCAACCTGGGACAAAACATGATCTCCATGTCAAAAAATTGACATGGATCTTCATGGCTCTACTTTCAGCAAACCAATATAAATGGCCCCAAACACCAGAGAGGCATTAATTCCTTAGAATAACCAACTATAAAAAGTAATAGAGAGAGTAGCATTTGTCCAAGAATAAAGCCCAGAAAGTAGGAAGGTATGGGACAGAAGGTTTAATGGAAATGAGAATTACAGGGATCAAATGGGAAAAGTACAAATACATTGTCTGCATTGTAATTAACTGTATAAAGTGAAATGTGTATGAAGACTTGAATTAAAGTGCAATTTGTATAAATATGCAACAAAATTATGATTTTAAAAATGTCTTATTCTAATTTAAGTATTCTTTTTTATTATAGTAAAAATATTCACAATAAACATGCAGCGATTCAATTATTTCAACATACACAATTCCGTTAACATTGATTACATACTTCATATTATACAACCCATCTCACTACATTTTTCGCAAATAATCCACCATGATGAACGTGTATGTTCAAGGGACCCTAAGTAAAAACAAACAAACAAACAAACATCTTCTTTCCCCTTTCTTCCAACACCAGATACTCATACCTAAACCCATTATTGTCAGGTTTTGATTGATAGATATCTCATAGAACTGATCAGAATTTTTCCAGAGAGTTTCCAAGGCTGTAAGCCTTTGCAGAAACAGACTATCACATTTATTTCCCTATAGAGCAGCTAGTGGGATCAAAACACTGCCTTTTCAGTTAGCAGCCAGATTGTTTAATCATTTTGCCACTTGTGCTTTTCTGTTTTTGGTAACTTCTAATAAGTCTTGGTTTCTTTGCTCATTATCAGTTGGAATGGATTCACTAGAATTGTGATAAGGTTTAGGGGTTTTTTTTGTTTTGTTTTATATAAGTGAGACTATACCCTGGATGAGATGTATTGACTAGGGGAGTGGTGGTAGATGTGTCAGAGACAATGAGGCTGGCTCAAGATAGAGCAAGATTCAGAGCTTGTACATAGGTTGCTACCAGTCTGAAGTAGCTCAACCTCACATAATAATAACAAAGTAGTAGTTTCTGTGTTCATTCATATTGTAGCACATATCAGAACTTCATTCCTCTTCATGGCTCAGTAATTCCATTTTAATATATGTTTTATCTTTTTATCCATTCATAAACTGAAATGATGGATATTTTCATTGTTTCCACTTTTTGGGTACTGTAAATAATGTAGCAATGGATATTGATGTATATGTGTCTGTTTGTGTCACTACTTTCAAGTCTTTTTACTGGAGAGTAAAATTGCTGAGTCATATCATTCCATATTCAACTGTTTAAAGAACCACCAAGCTATTTTCCACAGTGTAAGCACCATTTTACATTGCCACCTGGGAGAGGGAGTAAAGAAGAGGGAGATAGGAAAATGTACAACAATGAAATAATTTAAAAAAAATTTAAAGCACAACAACACAAAAATCCTCACTACTGGTATAAACTGTTGTTATTGTCATTATGTGTTGTCAATTCCCCTGCAACTCATACTGACCCTATGTACAACAGCCCTAAGCCCTGCTCTACCCTGTGCCTATCTCACTCTCTCTGACACACCTATCCCCATTACCCCAGTAACTGAATCAATCCATCTCTCTTAGAGGGTCTTCTTTTCTTGCGCTGTCGCTCCACCCTCCCATGCATGACATCCTTCTCCAAGGACCAGACTGATCTTGCGACATGTCCAAAGTATGTCAGACGAAACTTCAGAATCCTTGCCTCCAAGGAGCAGCCTAGCTTCACCCTCTCTAGGGTGAACCTGTTTGTTTTCCTAGCAGTCGCTGGTATATTTAATATTCTTCTCCAGCACCACGTTCAAAGGCATCAGTTCTCTTTCTATAATTCCTAGTCATTGTCCAGATTTCTGATGCATAACAAGTAATTGTAAAGGCTATGTCCTTGGTCAGGTGCACTTTAACCCCCACTTACATCGTTGCTCTTCAGTACTTTGAAGAGGAATCTGACAGCAGACTTTCCCAATGAAATTAGTCTTTTAATTTCCAGGCTACTAGTACTAAGTATTTCTTAAGCTGAAGGAACTGAAGAACAAATTCAAGCCTCGAGTTGCAATATTTAAGGATGCTTTAGGCAGAATGTTAAATGATCCAGGAGGTATCAAAAGAAGATGGAAGGAATATATTGAGTCATTGTAGCAAAAGGTATTGGCATACAAAGAAGAATTTCATAAAACAATGTGTGAGAAAGAGCTTGTGGTGATGAAGAAGTTCAAGCTGCTTTGAAAGAATTGGCAAAAAACAAGACTCCAAGAATTGATGGCATACCAACTGACATGTTTCAAGAAACAGACTACCCTGGATTTGCTCACCAAGTTGTGCCAGAAATCTGGAGGACAACTACCTGGACAACTGACTGGAAAAGATCTCTATTTGTTCCCATTCCAAAGAAAGGTGACCCAACAGAGTGTAGAAATTATCACACAATATCACTGATGTCACATGCAAACAAGAATCTGCTGAAGATTATCCAAAAACAACTGAAACAGCACATCAACAGAAACTGTCTGAAGTGCAGGCTGGATTTAGAAGAGGTCATGACACTAGGGATATTATAGCTAATGTCAGATGGATCTTGGCTGAAAACAGAGAATACCAGAGGAATGTCTATCTGTGTTTCATTGTCTATGCAAAGGCTTTTGACTGAGTGGGTAACCAATCTGCAGACAGACGCTGGCAACATTGCGGACACCCTCCAGGAAGCGGGTATGCAGAGTCTCCTCTGTGATGTCAATCACTTCAGGATTGTAGATGCTGCCGTTGTCAAACACCTGCTGGATGATCAGCCCCAAGGAGAAGGGAGAGATGTTCAGCGTGTTCAGCAGGGTGGCCTCTCTGGCACCCACCTTGTCTCCAGTCTTAATCAGTTCCACATCACTCAGGATTTCAATGGTGCCTCTGGAGATTTTAGTGGTGATGTCCAAAGTCTGGAAGAAGGCGGTGTTCTCGGGGCCCAGACCAGTGTTCTGGGCCGGCACGGTAACCTCACACGGAGCAATGGCACCAGCATGGGCAACAGCCGGCACCTTGTTGGCCCGCAGCATGTCCCTGACCTCAGTGAGATCCTCTTTGATGAACACAAACCCCACATTCCCCCGGATGTGAGGCAGCAGCTTCTCCAGGGCCGGATTGATGTCCAGGTGGCCCCTGATGGCCTTGCACATCACGGTGTTCTTACCCATCAGTACCACAGCCTTCCCGCGGAGGGACATGCGGATCTGCTGCATCTGCTTGGGGCCCACATTGTCTGCATCCACGACGAAGCATTTCGGATAGTCTCCCAGAAGTTGAATGATCTTAAGGAAGTAGTTGGACTTCCAGGTCGCCCTGTCTTCCCTGGGCATTACTGCGGTGCATCAGGGATTGCCACGCGGGGTTTAAAGACGATGTCACTCTCACGAGGACGCCTGGCAAGAGCTTCTGTTCAGCTTTTACTTCAGAATCTCTTCCCTTTGTTTCGGCTTCTCAATGCTCTACTGAGCATTTTCAATTTTCAGAATTTCTTCTGACCTCCAGCTTGGTTTTTTCTTTCTTCTCTGTCTTTGTAATGAACTTTTGCTTTCTTCACGGATGATACCCATGATGTCATCCCAGATCTCATCCGGTCGTTCAAAGCTCCAAACTTATTCTTAAGGTGATTCAGGTGGTATAGAGAAGAATCATATTTTGCTTTTTGTGGACTTGTTTTTATTTTCTCTAGCCTCAATTTGAATTTTCACGTGAGTAATTGATGGTCTGTTCCACAGTCAACACCTGGCCTGGTTTACACTGCTGGTAATAAGCTTCTCCAACAATTCATTCCACAGATGTAGTCAATCTGACTTCTGTGCATTCCATCAGATGAAATCTATGTGTAAAGTCATCGTTTGTACACAAATGACTCAACAGCACATAACAACAACAACAACAACAATTTGCAATGAAGAAATAATTGAAGGTACACAGTCTAACCATTCTATCCCTGGCCTCATTTCTGTCACCAAGTCTGTACTTTCTGACTACTTTGTCATGGTTTCAAGTTTTCCTCACTTTTTGCAAGCAAGGTTGTATCATCTGCATAATGCAGGTTGATGAGTCTTCATTTCTGATGCCATGTTCTTCTTCATATAGATTAGATGCTTGAATTGTTTGCTCAGCATACATGTTGAATTGTTGTTGTTGTTGTTGTTATGTGCCATCGAGTCGTTTGCAACTCATAGCGACCCTATGTACAATAGCCCTAAACCGTGTTCTATCCTGTGCCAATCTCATTGCCTCTGACACACCCATCCCAATTACCCCAGTCACTAAATCAATCCACCTCATAGAGGGTCTTCCCCTCCTGCACTACCCAGCATGATGTCCCTCTCTAAAGACCTATCTCTCCTTACAACATGTCCAAAGTATGTCAGGCGAAGCCCCAGAATCCTTGCCTCCAAGGAGCAGCCTGGTTTAACCCTCTCTGCGATGAATCTGTTTGTTTTCTTGGCAGTCCATGTTAAATAGGATAGAGAAAAGATACAATCTTCACACACCTGCTCCCTGAGTTTAAATCATGCAGTGTCCTGTAATCTGGTTTTTCTTCTCTAGGAAAGCTATTCTAAAATAGTGACAGTTCCTTTGATGTATTTTGGACATTCTCAGGAGGAAGCAGTCCCTGGAGAAGGACATCATGCTTGATAAATCAGAAGGTCACCAGAAAAGAAGTACACATGCCCTAGGATGAAGAGAGAGAGAGAGAGCTAAAGAAAATTCTTGCTTGCAGGGTCTAGCAAGTTCCAAATGTCTCTGGGTCAGAAGACAGGATAAAAGCTTCTCTTAAGTCATGTAGTTGCAGACGATGACAAATTCAACAGTTGGCTGTTGGTTCAAGTGCAAAAAAATCAAAGAAGGTGCAAGATCCTGATTAAGCAAAAAACAAGTGAGTTCTGCCAGATTTCCTAGTCTAGTCCATGCAGACCACACCCTTGATGAAACTGGTTGCTGATAGCAGATTTCAAAATGTGAATTATTTAATTTATCAAATTGCATCAGAGGAATCACTACATAACTGCCAAGCTACACTATGCCAGAATCAAAGTAAGTCAAATTGATATACAACCTAACCATTAAAATACACAGAGCTGGACATAGTCCAAAAATGGCCTCCAATCTTGTGATGATAGCACAGGACAAGCTTATACCATTCTATTGTTTTTCTTTTATACATAAATTTGCTTTAGTTTAAATCAACATGATGGTGCCTAACAATAATAGAAGATTTAAAGAAATTAATGGCCCTGGCCATTGGGACTGTTTCCAGTATTATATACAAGGCCTTTGTATGTTCCGTTTTCAGTTTTGGTTTAGGTGGTTGGTTTTCTGTCAGTTTATGTAGGGTTTGTTGTGTTGGTTTTTTTTTTATATAAAGATAGATATGTAGATTTAATAGTTCAATTAGTATAAAGATAGCTGAACAGAGAAGATACTAAGCTGTCAGTAACACACTTCGTCATATATATCTGACCTTATTTCCTTCCAAGGATAAGATGCTAATGCCTTTCTTGACCCTCCTGTGGCTGAGTGGGGCCTTATGACTGGTTGGAGCTACCGACTTGTAAATGGAAATTACCTGAATCACTTTTATTGCCAAGGTGAGATGGTTCATAACTCTCTCCCTCTGGCTTAGTTAATCATCAGCATAGTGTCAGAGTTCCACAGTCAACTTCTAGACATGACTCTGTAGCATGCACAGGAAATACCTTTTGTTAAGCTACCAAGATTTTGGACTTGTTTTCAAATATAACAGTCTGTCCCAATGCAAGTACCATTTTACACAGATGCCAACTTCTTAAAAATTAAATGTTGCTGTTGTTTGATGCTTATAAGTATGCCTCCAATAAGTATTACTCATAGCAACCCTTATGAACTCTTTCCAATCCTGTGCCGTCCTCATCATCTCTGACATACTTGAGCCCATTGCTGCAGTCATTGTATCAATCCATCTCACTGATGATCTTCCCTTCTTTCGCTGACCCACCACCTTTCAAAGTGTGATTTCCCTCTCCAAGAAATAGCCCCTCCTAACAACATGTCCAAAGCATGCACGATGAAGCATTGTCATCTGCCTTTAAAGAGCATTCTAGCTTCCTCTGAGTCATATCTGTTTGATCTTTTGGCCGCCCATGGGAATATTCAATACTATTCTCCAATACCACTGCTCAAAGGCTTAAATTCTTCTTCTCTCATTCTTATTTATTGTCCAGCTCTCAGGTGCATAGCAGGTGATTGAAAATACCACAGCCTGAAGCAAAAGCACCTTAGTCTTCAATGATACCATTGTTGTTGTTAAGTGCAGTGAGTCGCAGGCGACTCATAGCGACCCTATGAAGGAGAGTCCTCGACGCTTGGGTACCTTTCATCCTCTCTCGAGGTTCATAGGGTTTCCGGAGGCAAGGTATTATGGAAGTGGATGCCACTCCTCCTTACAAGCTTGTTTTAATCAGGGAACTCCACCCCACTCTCAATGATACCATTACACCTAAGTAATTTGGAGAGATCTCTGACTACACACTTTTCCAATGCAAAATTAAATAAACAATCAATATTCAGTCCTAATGAGAGTGTAGCTTAGTGGTTGCATGGCCAACCCAAGGATGCACGGTTCAAATCCAGCAGCTGCTCTATGACAGAAAGATGGGCAATCTCCTCTGGTGCAATTTACTACCTCTGAACACCTGTCATAAGTGGGTCCTGACTCAGTGATACATAACAACCCATGAGGGTGTAGGGATACTTTCAAAATCTTCTAGTGGACAGATAAATTGTTACATCTTTTTGGAAACTTATTTGACACCAGATTCTATTATAATGAAAATACGCATATCTTTTGATGCTGAAATACTATTTTGGGGGAGTTCATTCCACAGGGGAAAAAGTACTAATTCAAAAGGATGTTATTTTTATATTGTTTGCAGTGACTAAAAATGGAAAATACAAATTTTCACACATGGTTTAGATATGTATACTAGGAAGTACTATGCAGTTGTCAAAAGGCAAATGTCATCACTTCTATCGACTTTAAGGGGTGTATTTACATGTTAAACGAAAATAAAAAATCCACATGCAGAAACGTGTGCTTGTGAACCCAGAGCCTTTCCTCTTAAAGGAGTAGACGTAATAGGCAATAAGGGAAGTGATTAAGAGTGGTGATTATCACATTTTTCTTAATACGTCTTGATTCCCTTCTGCTTGCTACAATTTGTATGATTTATGTAGTAAGATGAAGTAACTGAAATTGCAAGGGTTTGTCGACTGAGTTCTTTACGTGATGCCGTCATCCAGTGGTGCTGCCACCACTTGGGAAAGCTAGGAGAAGCAGGATTTCATATCTACTCAGAGGGGCCTACTTTAACCACAATGAGTTTCAGCTGTGTCCTGGAAGCCTTTATTTAGGCGCGTGCGTAGTCACTTTAATTTTCCCAGCCTCTTAGGGTCGTCCCGGGGATTGCTTTTGACCCCAACAGGCTACCGTCGCGGTGACCGGAACAGCACCTCAGGTTTGCTTCCGGGCGTCGATTTTGCTTCCCTTTCACTTCCCTCACGTTTTTTTCCCCCTCTTCCCTCTCCCTTCTCCCCTCCTTCCCTCCGTTTTCGTTGTTTCTTCTTCCCGTCGAGTCCGACCCCAGAGTGGTGAGTCTGGGGTCCAGAGTCAGAAGAAGAGCTATTGTAGCTGGGAGCGGAGTGGTAAGGGGAATACTGTGAGGGATTTGGAGTCCAAAGGCTTGTCTTGAGATGTTCTGTTTGGAGGAGGAGGAGGTTGGGCGAAGGTAGGAAGGAAGTCTTCCCCGACAGGCGACCGGGGGGCGGGGCTGAGCCGAGACTGTGGGTGGATGAGACACCCCCTAAATTGTTTAGCACCTAGTGGGGAGTTCAGGAAAGTACAGTAGAGAAAAAAATGGAGGCGCTGAGAACTAGCAAGCGTCCAGCTTGCACAGCACGGCTCATTCTAGCAAGAGTCTTGTTTTAACTATTTGATCCAAAGTTAAAACCAGTATGGATTATTTGGATTGGGTATATAAAGTAGCACATTTTATTCTTGGATGTGTTTACTTTTTGCTTTGAGGAGAATCTTTTTTTTCTCCAAACTTTTGAGTGCTTAAGACTTTGTATATGACATTACAAGTGCTGATTAAATTTCCACATTTAAACAAGGTAATAAAGAAAAAACAAGTAATTCGAAGAAAAGACCTGCAAAGTAAGTTACGCCTCCTCTTCAGGTGTTAATATTGGTTCAAATTAGGGGTAACATGTAGACAGACGTATTTAATTATTCAATTAAAAAGCAAATTGTTTTACTCTAGATTGATACTTCTTAATGGCCTAAAACATATTTCCTAGTTCTCTATTGCATAAACTGATTAAGACTTCATAAGTCTGACTTTCAAGGCATTCTACAAGTATGGCCTCACAATATAACATTTCACTTTCTAGTCTCACCACTATCAGCATTTTACTCAAAACATGCAGAGTTCTTTAAATACTCCCATGGTTACACACACATCTGAAGTGCCTCCAACTTGATTTTCAAGATCCCTTCCAAATCTATGACAGCTAGCTTACAAAATATGTTAGGTTCTTTAAAAAAAAACAAGCAAAACTACTTCTTGGCCTTCCGTGGCACATTGATGGGAAATGCATATACAGAACAGTGTTTTTTACATATAATAAAAATGTAAGCGTTAATATGGACATATTAAGTGTCGCATGGAGTCTAAGGTAAGATGACTCTAGTCTATGGGACCAAATTTTATTCACACCTCGCCTATAGCATCGGTTGAAAACTCTTGTTTTTTGGTTTTTGGGGAGTTTTTTTGGTTGAGAACTCAGAAAATCTCAGCATCAGGTTCTGGAGAATTGGAAAGAATATCAAGTCAAGTTAACTGTATAGAAATAGCAAGGAGCAGAATCAAAAAGAGTTTATTGAGGGAACTGTACTTCTCTATTATTTGTCAGTATAATGACCCCAAAGGTAATTTTGTTCCTCTTAGAGTACAACATGTCCTCCACTTCTGAGTGCATTGGTTTGGGTGCAGCAAGAGCTGCAGTAGCGTCTGAAGATATTGCAGAACTTCAGCAGGCAGTAGTTGAAGAGCTTGGCATCTCCATGGAGGAACTAAGGCAGTTCATCGATGAAGAATTAGAAAAAATGGACTGTGTGCAGCAGCGCAAGAAGCAGCTAGCTGAATTGGAAAACTGGGTAATACAGAAGGAATCTGAAGTGGCCCATGTTGATCAGCTCTTCGATGATGCGTCCAGGTGAGAACTACTGCATGGAAATTAGAAGGAAAATCTCCTTTGCAGGTATCTTTATGGTATAATTGTTCATAACATTGTGCCAAAACTATACAAAGCAAAAAAGTATGGGCCTTTATTCTTAGAGTTTGTGAGCTCAGACCTCACAATCACTCATATATAGAAAAAGCATTTATTAGAAATGAGCATCTAATCAGTGGTAGAGGAGTCCAGATCTTAAGTCTCTTCATTTTTCCTCACTCATCCTGCTTTGTAATCCTCCTTTGTTTTCTTAATGAAATAAACTAGGGAGAAAAAATTGTAGAGTTGCTTGCTGCCTCATAGAGCATTAATTTCTAAAACAATGTATAAAAAGGGATAGTAGTAGTTGGTAAAGAGTTGAACTGCTAACCCAAAGGCTGCAACTCTGGTAATTGGACTCCACCAACAGCTTCGAGGAAGATGCATGGGAAGTCTCTTCCCGTGCAGTTTGCAGCCTCTTGAAAAGCCTGTGGGTCAGCTGTGATTCTGTTCCAACTCGACAACAATGAGTTGAATTATTCAGAAAAGAAAACCACAAAAAACAGCCAAACTTACTACTGTGAAATTAATTTCAACTCATAAGAGCACTTCTTTAGGTTCCTGAGGCTGTAAATCTTCACGAGAGAATATTCTCCATTTTTACCCATGGATCAGCTGGTAGATTCAAACTACCTACCTTTTAAGTTAGCAGCTCCATAGGTTATGTACTGTGACATCAGGGCTCCTCTGCTACATCTCCAGAAGATTTTTCTTTTTCAGTGATATTACCACTATTTTTTAAAGCATATTTTCAGGTAAAAAAAGGTGAATAATGAGATAAGGTTGAAAGATTGTGCTTTGGGTTTATTTGGGATTTTTGAGAAACTAGTCTAGAAACCAAACCACTACTTAAAACAGTTTTCTATAGGAAAAGTATCTGAAATTCTGAACAGTATAATTTACAATTTATGCTGTATACTAAGTATAATTTACAATTTATGCTGTATACTAAGGTCTGTTTGAGGATACTCTGCACTTACATATAAATTGTAATGACGCCTCCACACACTTTCTCTGCTGGATTTGATCTCCTTTTTCACATATGTTCCAATATTAGGGCAGTGACTAATTGTGAGTCTTTGGTGAAGGACTTCTACTCCAAACTGGGACTACAGTACCGGGAAAGTAGCTCTGAGGATGAAGCTTCCCTGCCTACTGAAGTAATAGAGATACCTGATGAAGATGATGAGGTCCTCAGTATTGATTCAGGTAAAAAATAAGGCTTTGGTTAGGAATGTCTTAAGAATAAAGTTGAAACTCTGGAAGATGAGCAATGTAAAATAAGAGAAGGGGGAAACGAATGTCTCTAACTCCATATTCTAATCTTCTTGATCTGTTAGTATCATAGATGTCTCCTCTGTGCCACTCTCCATCTATAGTAACCTTTTCCCCATCTTTTGTAACCTCGCATCCCCTTCTGTATCTTTAGTGGTAGAATTAGCAATATATATACGTATACTAAGATAATAGATTCTCTGGTTTTGTCTATTTTTAACATTCTTATTTAGGTATAACTTAAATACCATAAAATGTATTTATTTTAAGTCTGTGGTTTGAATTTTAGTAAATTGATATAGTTGTATAACCTTCACCATAGTCCAATTTTAGAACACCTAGAGCACTCCAGAAAGATCCCTGTTTTACCTTTTTTAAATTGGTGATCTGAGTGAAAGCTTACAAAATAGACTGATAATTCCTTTTGGCCATTCAAACATACTTTGTTTTGTAACATTGATTACAACCCCTGCATTTTAACAGCATTGTTGTTATTGTTGTTAGGTGCTGTTGGGTCGTAGACGACCCATAGCGACCTTATGAACAAAAGGCCTGAGCACTATTCATACATAGAGTTTCAGAGGCAAGCCATTTCAGAACTGAATGCCGCTCCTGCTTCCAGGCTTGTTTTAGTCGGGAAGCTCCAGCCAACACTGTCCACCATGGGTACCCATTATCACATTTGGCACATCACTGTCACAGTGTTCAGCATCACAGCAACCATGAGTTACCTCTGTACAGCAACGTACAATGTTTTGTAATATTGATTATAATCCCTGCATTGTAGCAGCTTACTTCCCCACTTCTCACCTGTGGTTCTTTTTTACATTTCGTTCTTCAGTCCTCTCCTTTCCTGCCTTCTGAACTTTATTCCTGTGTAGATCTGATGCTCCTCTTTTGATTTTGTATGATTGATTGATCTAAGACCTTTATACCTTGGTGGTGGTGGTAATGGTGTCAACCTTCTAGGCCTGTCTGTTATATGTCTGAAAGTTGAGCCGCAGAAGTAAGTTCATTTTCAGGGTGGCAAAGGTCCATAGTCTTTGGGATTCCACCAGTTCCTATTGAACCGGTAAGCTCAGCCATTTTCATGATTTTGAGACATTCTGTACCACTCCATCCAGGATCCACTTTTGTGATCATCCCAAGGTTATCTAGAGTCACCAAAGCTGCCAGCACCTGCCCTATGGCTGGAGCCAGAAAGAAGCTCACCAGGTTGTCTTTGATACGGGGGCCATGCAATCAGCCAGGATCCTCTTTTGTGATCTCTTTCAGAGCACTAGGTGTTGTTATAGCTGGGCACAGTCTGTTTCTAGTCTCAGAGTTGTGGGGGTTGAGGTTCTTGAGGTCCATTTATTACTGTGGACTTGTTTCCAAGTTGTTGTTGATTGCCTTCGTGTTGAGGATGATTCATAGTGACCCTGTGAACAAAAAGCCTGAAGCCCCTCTACAACTGTCAACATTTATCGAAGTTCATAATTTCTAGAGGTATGTTGCTTAAAAAGTGGATGCCACTCCTTCCAAATCTGTCATAGAATGTTATTGGTTGAGTTGCCTGCAATGCATAATGTCCCTATGTACAGCAGCTGTGAACCCTTCCCTGTCCTGAGACAGTCTCACTTAATTCTGACACACCAACCCCCATTACCCCAGTCACTGTATCAATCCATCTCATCTGGGGTCTTCCTCTCCTGCACTGTCCATCCACACTTCCAAGCATGATGTTCTTCTCCAAGGACTGATCTCTCCAGGCCATGTGCGCAAAGTGAGTGAGGCGGAGCTTCAAAATCCTAGCCTCCAGAGAGAGACTTGGTTTTTTTCTCTCCTAGACAGACTTATTTGTTTTCTTGGCAGTCCATGGTATGTTGAAGACTTTTCTCCAGCACCACAACTCGAAGGCATCTATTCTTCTGTCATCCTTAATCATTGTCCAACTCTCTGAAGCATGATAAGTTAATTGAGAAGACCTTGGCCTTCAGTATAGATTCATCTCATTATCAAGAAAATAAAAATCATCACTGCTGAACCAATAAACAACATCATAACAGATGTAGAAAAGATTGAAGTTGTGAACAATTTATTTTATTTGGATCTACAGTCAATATTCATGGTACCAGTGGTCAAGAAATAAAAGAAGTGTTGCAAAAGTACAACAGTGAATGACTGGAAACCCTAAGTCTCTGTAAACTTTCATTAAAATTAATTTTAAAAAGTGTTGCATTGGGACAACCTATTAAGGATCCATTTAAAGGGCTAATGGGCTAAGGATTTAAAGCCTAAGGTGCACCTTATCCAAGCCATAGTATTTTCAGTTGCATCATATGCATCTGAATGTTGAGTAATGAATAAGGATGACAGAGGAGTCAATGCCTCTGAATTGTGTGGATGAAGAGTATTGAATAGACCATGGCCTGCCAATAGAATAAACAAATCTTCTTTTGGAGGAAGTGCAACCAGGGTGTTCATGAGAGGCAAGAATGGTAAAACTTCATCTTCCATACTTTGGGCATGTTGTCTAATGGTGCCAGTCCTTGGAAAAAGACATGCTGGGAAAGGTAGAGAGTCGCCAATAGAGGACGGAAATCATTGAGATTGACTGTAACAATGTGCTCTAGCATGTTGGAGATCATGAGGGAATGGCACAGGATAGGGCATAGTTGTTCATAGGTTCTCTGAGTCATGATTGTATCAGCAGCACCTAACAACAACAAAGCCCAGAAGACAGGAGGATGTGGGATAGAAAGAGTAATGAAAATGAGAATTACCAGAAGGAAGTGGGAAAAGTACAGTTGCATTGTGGGTCTTGTAATCAATGTTATAAAACAAAATGTATATGAATAGCTGAATGAAAGTCAGTGTGCTTTGTAAACTTAGACTCAGGTCACAGTTTTAAAAGGAATGAACATGACCTTCCTGTGGGTGTGTCCAAGTGAGCATGACTATATTGCTCTTCCATATAAATTTGAGAATGAGTTTATGTTCCCCATGTGCCTCCTAAAAATGCACAAGATTGACATTTTGAAGGTCAATTTAGACCTAGCTGGCAATTTCCCAGTATCAAATTCTTCCATACAAAAATGATATATTTAGGTCTTTTCTAATTTTTTCTAATAAGTTCGTTTTCTTCACAGAAAGCTTATTCCTAGCTCCTTTACCATTTCTGGTAATTCTGAAGAAATATTTTTCTTAAATTACATTGCTGATTTTTAAACTTTTTATTGTGTAAACAAATTAGCTTTCTATATAGCAATAGCAATTTATACACATTTTGGAACATTGATTGCAATCCCCAGATTGTAACCATATTCTTTCCATTTCCTGCTTTTTTTTTAAAATTTATTTATTTATTTATTTTTTCCATTTCCTGCTTTTTATCGCTTCTAGTCACCCTTTTTTCTCATTCTCTTCTGTATTCTGAGGTTTATTCTTAGGAAAATAGTGCCCTTTATTGGATTTAAGAAGTGCCCGACTCACTGATGTTACTGTTCACCTTTTAAGCCTGGTATGAGACTCTGAAAATTGCACTGGAGCGCAGAGAAGCCAAAGCACAGGGAAGAATTCAAGATACTAAAGAGTTGAATAGAAGATTTCAAAAGGCAGCACGGGATGACAAAGCAAAATATTACAATGAAATGTGTAATGAGTTGGAGTCGGAAAATCAAAAAGGCTGAACTCGCTCAGCATATCTTAAGCTCAAGGAACTGAAGAACAAATTCAAACCTCGAGTTGCTATAATCAAGGATGCTTTCGGCAGAACATTAAATGATCCAGGAAGTATTAAAAGAAGATGGAAGGAATATACTGAGTCACTGTATCGAAAAAAATTGGAAGACAGAAGAATTTCATGAAACAACATATGAGCAAGAGCCTATGGTGATGAAAGAAGTAGTTCAGGCTGCTTTGAAGGACATGGCAAAAAATAAGGCTCCAGGAATAGATGGTATACCAATTGCCATATTTCAGTTAACAGATGCTGCCCTGGACGTGCTCACTAAGTTGTGCCAAGAAATCTGGAGAATGACCTCTTGGCCAACTGACTGGAAGAGATCGATATTTGTTCCTATCCCAAAGAAAGGCGACCCAACCGAATGTGGAAACTACAGAACAATTTCACTGATTTCACATGCAAGCAAGATTTTACTGAAAATTATCCAAAAACGACTGGAACAGCACATCAACAGAGAACTACCAGAAGTCCAGGCTGGTTTCAGAAGGGGTCGTGGTACTAGAGATATTGTAGCTGATGTTAGATGGATCTTGGCTGAAAGCAGGGAATACCAGAGGAATGTCTATCTGTGTTTCATTGACTATGCAAAGGCATTTGACTGTGTAGATCATAACAAACTGTGGCTGACTCTGAGAAGAATGGGAATCCCAGAACACTTGATTGTTCTAATGCGAAACTTATACTTGGACCAGGAGGCAGTCGTCAGAACAGAGCACGGGAACACTGCATGGTTCAAAATTGGGAAGGGCGTACGCCAGGGATGCATCCTATCTCCATACCTTTTCAACCTATATGCAGAACAGATTATCCGGGAGGCTGGGCTCTATGAGGAGAAATGTGGGGTCAAGATTGGTGGACGATTTATCAACAATCTGCGTTATGCAGATGACACAACCCTGCTTGCTGAAACTGAAGAGGACCTGAAGCGCCTGCTGCAGAGTGTCAAGGACTGCAGCCTACAATATGGATTGAGGCTCAATGTCAAGAAGACAAAGATTCCCACCACTGGACCAATTGGCAGCATCAGGATGGTTGGTGAAGAGATTGAGATTGTACACAGCTTTAGTTTGCTTGGCTCCATAGTCAACAGTCTTGGCACCAGCAGCCAGGAAATTAAAAGGCACATTGCCATGGGAAAGTCTACTGTTAGGGACCTCTCCAAAGTGCTGAAGAGCAGTGGTGTCTCTCTGGAGAGTAAGGTGCGTCT